CAAGAAGGGAGATGTAACGATGTTATGATGTCATAGGCCCTTCGGGCTTGCGCAGTAGAATGAGATGTATTCCCGGATGTAGTTGTTGTTGTATTACTAGTAATGGCGGGCTTTTATGAGCTTCATTAAAACCGTTGTGTTAGCATCGTTTAGTCTCGTTTAGACTACGCTACATAAGACTCCTTTGTTTCCCTTGATAGCGTGAAATCATTGTTCCCTCTTCAGACTCATGGAGTCGTTTAAACGAATGCCCCAGTTGCTAACTTCTATGCTATACTGTGCGATCGAAAAACACACTTGGACACACTTTAAAAACCGGAAAAAGAATAGCTAGAAGACTAGACTGCAAAACAGTCGTTTTTGGACGTTTTCGGAAGGCGCGAAGCGCCGTAAGCGCGATCCTCGCGTGTGAAGCGCGCGAGCCTCACACGCCCGTGTGCTACCTACTTGCTGGAGACTGTAAAGTTAGATAGGACCATACGGCTTGCACTAATGGAGTCAGCTTCGGTAGAGGTTCGACAAAAGTCGGTGTGTAAAGGTCCGAGAGAACTGAGTAAGTTTATTACCTCTTCGCTGGAAAAAGGTTTCTACTGGTAAGTGCATCTAATTAAACTTGAATAACTGAAGGACTTATGAATTTGCTATACGTGGGTGGTATAGAATGGTTCCCTCATTGTCAAATTTCTATTTTTTAAATGTTTTGTATGATTTTTTCTTGCCAAATTTAAACCCGTCAAAATTCATGTTCGGGATGGAAGGAAGTATAAATAGTCTTCGGAAATCTTCATTCATCACGGTATCAAAATTCTTCACAGCTTTTAACACAGTATCCAAACAGATAGTATCCATTACAAAACAAACCTATTAACGCTCAAATTAGACTTCAATTAAAATTGTTGATATGCTCTAAGGAGCCGTATATCTGGGTTCCTACTGTTTGCAGTAACAAAGCAGAAACTTTTTGGTTTAGTCTTGCCTGTTCGGTGTTTGTCTACCCTTGCAAGCTGTTACTTCAAAGTTTCCTCTTATTTGGGGCAAATTTCTACCTCGCAAAAATACTCGAAATATCTAGACATAACTGCTCCTTTAAACTCCTTCAAAAATTCTTAAACATTTACTGTACTAGGGAAAACAAGCCGATGGAGACACAAACTTCTGAAATATTGGTAAAATTGGTTTAAAACAAGATACGGTTTTTCATCGTACTCCCTTCTCAACAATTGGGCCACTGGGAGATTTGTGGAGAAATTGCATAATGTAGACGAACCTCCCTGTTTT